TAGTGATGTCTTGAACTCTTAACAGACTAGCCCAGTCGTCACTCTTCCAACTGTCTTATATTTCATACATTTTCTGCTTTTCTCAAACTTCCAATACTTCCTTCTCAGGAACTCACTCTCAGATTTTGACCTTACTTCTTATTTTATTGAGGAAATACTGAGAAAATAGAAGCAATAGAAATAGAACTTATGCTGATAGAAACATACTGGAGTATGTTAATAATTGGAATGTGGAAAGTGCCAAGTATGAAACTAGGAATATTAAGAGTCATCAAAATGAAATAGAACACATAAAGATTGATATCCTAGGAATTACCTGAAATGGACTGGTTTTGACCATTTTTAATCAAACAATCATATGGTCTACTATACTGAAAATGACAAATAGAAGAAAAACCGCATTGTATTCATTGTTAACAAGAACATTCCAATGTCTGTCCTGAAGTACAGTGCTGTCAGTGGTAGGATAAAACCTACACAACTACAGGAAAGACCAGTTAATATAACTGTCACTCAAATTTGTGTACCAAGCACTAACTCTAAAGATGAAGAAACCAAAGATTTTACCAACTTCTGCAGTCTGAAGTTGATCAGGCATACAAGCAAGATGCATTGATAATTATCAGAAAGTGAAAGTTGGAAACAGAGAAGAAAGATCAGCAGTTGGCAGATAGGCTTTGGGGTTAGAAATTATGTCAGAGATCGCATGGTAGCATTTTTCAAGACCATCAAGTTATCATTAGAAATACTTTTTTTCAACAGCATAAACAGTGACTATACATATGGACCTCACCAGAAGAAATACATAGGAATCAAATCGACTACATTTGTGAAAAGGAATCATGGAGAAGCTCGATATTATCAGTCAGAACAAGCCCAGGGGCTGACTGCGGAACAGACCGTCAATTGCTCATATGGAGTTTCAAGTTGAGGCTGAAGAAAATTAAAACAATTCCATGAGAGCCAAAGTACAACCTTGAATATATCTCACCTGAATTAGAGGCCATCTGAAGAATAGATTTTTGATGAATTGAATACTAATGACCAAAGACCAGACAAATTGCAGGATGACATCAGGGATATCATACATGAAGAAAATGAAAGATCATTAACAAGACAGGAAAGAAAGACCAAAATGGACGTCAGAAGAGACTCTGAAACTTGCTCTTGAATGTAGAGTAGCTGAAGTGAATGGAAGAAATGATGAAGTGTAAGTCCTGAAGACTTTAAAGTCGGAAGACTTTAAAGGCAGGCTTGAGAAAACAAAGTAAAATATTTTGATGAAATGTGCTAAGACTTGGAGTTAGAAAACTAAAAGGGAAGAACATGCTCAATCCGAAAGACCCGAGGGAAAAACTCAAGCCTCAGTTGCAGTTTTGAAAGATTCTATAGGCAAGATATAGAATGATGCAGGAAGCATCAAGGGGTGATGGAAGGAGCAGACAGAGGCATTGTACTAAAAACAATTGGTCGATGGTCAGCCATTTCAGGAGATGTGGTGGTTACATTTGTGTGTCAACTCGGCTGGGCCTGGCTGAGTGGCTGGGCAGCCGGATGTAGTATTCCCCATGATGAGACTGGTAATCAACTCCATGCTGGAATCTATTGGAGCAGCTGAGTAGCTGCCTTAGGGGTGTGGTCTGCTTCCTGTATATAAGGAGAAGCCTTGGGGAATGGTCTCTAGCTTATGGCACGCTTGAACCCTGCATGTAGCTAAGTTGTTTAGCAGCCTGCCATGCTCTGCCGACCTTGGAATTTTTAATGGACTTGAATTAATGGCTTGCCATGTGGTTTGGTAACATTGGGACTGTGCCTTTTTACTTGTCAACCTTAGGCTTGTCAGTCTCAGCAGCAAGCAGCTGTCTGAGTGAAGAAAAGCCTCTAGCTTCGGTAGGCCATGAGCAGGAGGCAAAGCTGAAGCCCAAGGTTGAGGGGCTTTTACCCAGTCCCAGAGCCTGGCACTTTGAACTTGGACTTAAAACCTCCGGACAGTAAGAGAATAAACTCCTGTTTGTTCAAGCCATCCCATTTGTGGTACATTCTTGTCAGAGAGGCACAGAGGTAACCAAAACAAGAGGTATCATATGATTAAGGACAGATAGCATTGAAGAAAGAATTCCAATCTGCACTGAAGGCATTAGTGAAAACAAGGTCCTAGGAACTGATGGAATACCCATTGAGGTGTTTCAACAAATGAATGTAACACTGAAAACATTCACTTGTCTATGCTAGAAAATTTGGAAGGCAGTTTCCTGGCCAACTGAATTGAAGAGATCCATATTTGTGTGCATTCCAAAGAAAAGTGATCCAAAAGAATGCAGAAATTATCAAACAATATCACTAATATAACACACAAGTACAATTTGCTGAAGATAATTAAAAAATGATTGCAGCATTACTTTAACAAGGAACCGCTAGAAATGCAGGATGGATTCGGAAGAGGATGTGGAATGAAGTATGTCATTGTTGATGTCAGATGGATCTTCACTGACAGCAGAAAACACCAGAAAGATGTTTATCTGGATTTTGTTGAGTATGCAAAGGCAATCGACTGTGCAGATCATAACAACTTATTGATAACATTGCACAGAGCGGGAATTCCAGGACACTTAATTGTGCTCACGCGGAACCTGTACATAGACCAAGAGACAGTCGTTTGAACAGAATAAGGTGCTATTGCATGATTTAAAGTCATGAGAGGTGTGTGTTAGGATTGTATGCTTTCATCATACTTCTTCAGTCTGTATGTTGAGCAAATAATCTGAGAAGCAGGGCTTTATATGAAGAAGAATGTGGCATCAGAATAGGAGGAAGACTCATTAATAACCTGTGATATGCAGATAACACAACTTTGCTTGTTGAAAGAGAAAAAGACTTGATGAAGTTCAACGACTACACCTCAACATAAAGAAAACAAAAATTCTCACAACTTGACCAATAAGCAACATCTTGATATGGATTACACCTCGACATAAAGAAAACAAAAATTCTCACAACTTGACCAATAAGCAACATTTTGATAAACAGAAAAGTTTAAAGTTGTCAAGGATTTCATTTTACTTGGATCTGTAATCAGTGCCTGTGGAAGTAGTATCAAGAAACGAATTATCTATTGCATTGGGCCAATATACTGCAAAAGTCCTCTTCTAAGTTTTAAAAAGCAAAACTGTTACTTTGAGGATTAAGGTGTCCCAGAGTCAAGCCATGGTATTTTCAGTTGCCTCCTGTGCATGGATAAGGAAGACGAAGAATTGATGCATTGAAATTGTGATATTGACAAAGAATATTGAATATACCATACACTGCCAAAAGATTGAACAAATTTGTACAGTCAGAATTCTCCTCAGAAGTGAGGATGGCAAGACTGTTTCACGTACTTTGGACATATTATCAGGAGGGACCAGTCCCTGGAGAAAGGGCATCATGCTTGGTGAAGTCGAAGGTGAGTGAACAAGAGGAAGACCCTCAATGACATAGACTGACACAGTGGCTGCAACAGTAGGCTCAGACTCAGCAATGATGGTGAGGATTGCACCAGGCCAGGCAGTGTTTCATTCTGTTGCAAACAGGGCTGCTATGAGTTTGAACTGAGTTCACGAC